AACGAAAATGAAAATTTGCTTGATAATTCAACTACGCTTGTTGGAGAACAATAAAAACACTACACTCAACAAGCCACCAATAAAACTCAACTGCCTAACCTATAACCAAAGTCTCCTTTTAATTTGTTTTTTAAAAAAAGCGCTTGACAAACTTGCCCCGCATGCCGAAAGTTGCCCCGATCTCCCCTATAACCTAAACTTGAGATCTAAAGTAATATCTGATAACCCTGTAGCCATAAATTTAACTCGAGACACGACACTCCTCACTGTACATTTATTGCAGGCATTACTTACTTTCTGAAGTCATTTTAAGACCTCGGCATCACGTGAATTGTTAACGTATGTATTGTATGATCCAATTCGGTAGTCACATTACATATATCAAACACCAGCACGACATTAACTGGGCATCAGTTCAAATAATAAAAACCTTAAAATAAATGCTGTTCAATATATTTCCTATAAGCAATAAGCATAATTACCGTGAAAANTCAAATTCTTATTCATAGTATTATTGAAATTCAGTTATCATCTTTAATGCTATGTTATATAATATATAGTAATTTTATATTTTTTTCCATGCTCTCTAAACTACAGTTTTAAAAGAGGTGAGTACTTTAAAAATTTATTTTTATTAAAAGATATAATACAAATTAATTATAAGTATTAAGTTTTTATTTAAAAAATTAAAGTAAAAACATATTTTCTTATTTTTATGATTGTACTAGCTGTTACCCGCGATTTGTTATTGCATATTGGTTCGATTATAGAACGATTATAAACATTCCAGAAAATTGATCAAATTGAAAACAGTTTGTTTGATTCTCAGAAATTCTCATTATTCTCAGCGGTAGGCAAGCAAACCCCATTTATATTCAGTATTTGAACAACCATAGTAATTGTTATATAACACCTACCGCTGAGAATAATGAGAATTTCTGAGAATCAAACAAACTGTTTTCAATTTGATCAATTTTCTGGAACGTTTACAATCGTTCTATAATCGAACCAATATGCAAATTCGAATTTAAAACGGATCGAACATTTATTTTTAAAATCGAAATATATAAAAATATTTATAACAATGTCTTAAATGTTATTAATTTAATACACCTAAGTACTCGATGAAGACTAAATCCTCTCCCGCCCGCGGGGGAATTTCGAAAAATCCTTCTTATTGTGCATTGCCACGGCATACCCTACTAAAACGCAGATAAAACAAAAAATCGCATATAAAATAGTACAGTAGAAGC